AATAAGTACAGTATTATACTTTGCACATTTCTTGATAATAGTTCCCGTAATTAGTTTACTTGAAAATAGCTTAGTGGAATTACATACAAGTCAAAGCAAATTTGAGGAAAAAAAAAACATCTTTTAACTAGGAAACTATATATTTTTAAATAGATTTTTAATGTTATAATTAAATGGCAATTTCCTTCGGCTTTAATTGTTATCTTTTTAGGTTTAATGCACCTTATAGGAGTATAATTTTTCAGAGAAGCTTTTGCTATGGTACCTGAAACAACTTATGATGTATTATTGCGAAGAATAGAGCAATCTGTTGATATATGCAAATACTACAAAGCCCAGGTTGCCGAAGCAAATAAGGATTTTACAGATGTGCTTTGTTCACGTCACAAAATAGATCCAAATCTTTTTAAAATACAGCACGAAGAAACTTTTCAAGCTAAGAAAGATACAGAAACCTATCTTAGAGTAGAAGAACTCAGATTGAGATGTTTACGTAGAACATTAGCCTCAGGTAGTTATGAAGACAATTGATAAAACACATCAGCGTTAGGAAAAAGAAAACGTTAAAAGTTCTCTTGCAAATAAGCGAGAAAAGAGAAAAATAGGACCTCAGTAGACCGTTTTCAATCTTTCATTTTTTAATTAAATTAAGGTATTTTCTTTTACATACCTATACATACTATATTTAAATCTATGCCTCAATTAGTTCCATTTTACTTTATGAACCAAGTTGTTTTTGCATTTACAGTGATTGTTTTATTAATCTATGTTTTCTCAAAGTATATATTACCAAGATTTGTTCGTTTATTTTCAACACGTCTTTTTATTAGTAAACTCTAACGTTATACATACGTAAAACCACATATTTAACAATCCTTACTTTTTTAATAATAAATCTACATACAACATCTACATGCAAATGTTTTTAAACATAAAAAGCCCACTGGACCAATTTGAAATAAGAAATCTTATAAGTCTGGACGCGCCTATATTAGGTAACTTATCTTTATCATTAACAAATATCGGTCTATATTTGACGTTAGGAGGATATTTAGTTTTTGTACTAAACCTTATGTCCACTAATAACAACAAAATAATTTCAAATTCTTGATCTTTATGTCAAGAATCTGTCTATGCTACAGTTCATAGTATAGTAGTTAACCAAATAAATGAAAAAAGAGGACAAGCATACTTTCCGTTTATGTACGTACTATTTGTGTTCATATTAGTAAATAATCTAATAGGAATGGTTCCTTACAGTTTTGCTCCTACAAGTCATTTCATCTTGACTTTTTCACTAAGTTTTACAATAGTTTTAGGGGCAACTATTCTAGGATTAAGTAGACACGGATTAAAATTCTTCTCTCTTTTTGTACCATCTGGATGTCCTTTAGGTCTACTTCCCTTATTAGTTTTAATCGAATTTATCTCTTACTTAGCAAGAAATGTTTCATTAGGTCTAAGACTTGCAGCAAACATCTTGTCTGGTCACATGCTTCTGAATATCTTAAGTGGATTCACGTATAATATCATGAACTCAGGACTAGTCTTCTTTTTCTTAGGTTTATTTCCATTGGCATTCATAATAGCCTTTTCTGGTTTAGAACTGGGAATTGCCTTTATACAAGCCCAAGTGTTTGTAGTTTTATCTTGTTCTTACATTAAGGATGCGTTAGAATTACATTAAGCCTTTTACGTAAAGACAATAAAAAAAAATATATATGTGTATATATAACTGAATAAAAAAAAAGCTTAACTTAACGGTAAAGTATGTGACTTTTAATCATTGTAATATGAGTTCGAATCTCATAGCCCTTATATTTATTCTTTATTTTTTATAAGTATTATGAAATAAGATAACGCTTAATAACAAAAAATTTGAAGCTGACATTACAGTCTTATACCTTTAGTTTAAAAGTTCATTATCAACTTAATTCGTAAAACTTGGTTATTTTACAACCTAATATAGAGCATTTAACAGACACTTTCGTAATGGATAACGTTCCTATACGATTGTTATTTAAATTCTAGCCATGTAATACAAAAGATGCAGAAATATTATATTTTCCCTTCAATCTAATTTTTTTTCTAGGTATAAAAAAAAATAATAATAAATATCAGATATATTTAAGTCTGTATATTTTATTTAAAGGCTAAACTAAGATCGTGCATTTATCAAAGTGTGATGTTTTCTGAACTTACCTTAAATTACCGATTCATAAACATGTTATATTTTCCTACACTTATTTCAATAATTGAAGTCATCATTGTTGTGGTTCCAGCACTTTTAACTGTAGCTTTTGTGACGGTGGCCGAGAGAAAAACTATGGCAAGTATGCAAAGAAGACTAGGCCCCAATATTGTGGGGTATTATGGTCTTCTACAAGCATTTGCAGATGCGCTGAAGCTTCTTTTAAAAGAATATGTTTCACCTACACAAGCAAATCTTGTATTATTCTTTTTAGGTCCCATAATAACTTTAATTTTTTCATTATTAGGCTACGCTGTAATACCGTATGGTCCTGGACTTGCAATATGAGATTTTAACTTGGGTATATTGTATATGCTAGCAGTTTCTTCATTATCCACATATGGAATTTTACTGGCAGGATGATCTGCTAACTCAAAATATGCTTTTCTGGGTTCACTTAGAAGTACAGCACAGCTAATAAGTTATGAGTTGATTTTAAGTTCTGCAATATTGTTAGTAGTTTTGTTAACAGGAAGTTTAAACTTAACTGTAGATATAGAAACTCAAAGAGCCATTTGATTTATTATGCCATTATTCCCTATATTTGTTATATTTTTTATAGGTTCTGTAGCAGAAACTAACCGAGCTCCTTTTGATCTGGCCGAAGCAGAATCTGAACTAGTTAGTGGATTTATGACAGAACATGCTGCAGTTATATTTGTATTCTTCTTCTTAGCTGAATACGCAAGTATTGTACTTATTTGTATATTAAATAGTATACTTTTTCTGGGTGGTTACTTATTAGATTACACATTCATTTATTTTGCCTTACAAGGTACTTATGAAGGTCACATTCTAAATAGCGCTGTTTCATCATTATCTAGTCCTATTATTGAAGGTTTAATATACGGTCTAACTATAGGGAGTAAAGCCTGTATTATGATATTTGTATTTATTTGAGTAAGAGCCTCTTTTCCTAGAATACGTTTTGACCAACTAATGTCGTTTTCTTGAACAATACTACTACCTATTGTAATAGCGTTTATAGTGTTGATGCCATGTATCGTATATAGTTTTGACATAATTCCTAGTAATATTTCTCTATTATAAACATACTGCATATAAAAAAAATAAACCTCTTTCCGCTAATACGCTATTTTACGCTAAAAAAAAATGCTTATATCATTATTAATCTTATTACTTTTTTCAAACGCCTTAACATTAAGAAAAGACAAATCGATACTATTTTCCAGAGTTGTAATCCTAGGATTAATCTCCACTAGTTTTCTCGCATGAAATAACCTTTTTCTTAAACCCTTTTCAAATGGAATAGGTATTTATGGAGGTTTATTTAATGTAACAACCTTCACTCAAACCTTTAACATATTTATATTTACGATTAGTGCAATTATTCTTACACTAACCGCTTTCTATCCTAGAAAAGACAAATCTATACTATTTTCTATACTTGTGATAAAAATCACAATAATATACTCTATGTTAGAGTTATTTCTTGAGCCTCTTTTATACTTCATAATGACAAAAGATGTTACCATGAATAATTATATTTTTGATTTAAATCCACCTGTTCTTCATTTTGATGCTATGTTCTTGTCATGTTCATACATAGAATTGCCAGCATCAACAGGATCAGCAGTATTCACTCTGCACGATACACTAATACAATTAGTTTCTTCCTTTTCTAAGCACCTAGGTGCAAATAGTTTACATGTTTGTGCATGTACTGTTTTAGTAATACTTTTAATAGGTGCTGCATATATGGAAAAACCTAGTTCCTCTAATAAGACTATAGGTAAACATGGTTTACACACCGTTAAAAAAAAAATCCTTCGCTTAAACCTATAGATCTATTGTATGTATTGGTACAGCCATCTATTGAGATACAACCTGGGGAGTCTTCACATACAATAGGTTCGATTAATAGGAATACTAGACTCGTGGCCATCTTTGACAACAATAATAGGGATGTAGAGCCCATCAAGAACATTAATTTATCTCCGTATAGAAATAAAGCGAAAGTAAGAATAGGTGGTACATTAACTGCTTGTCATGTATTATCTAGACCTAGGACTTTTCTAGAAAGACCAGTACTAAACCTGCCTACTACATGATTTGTTTTGCACTCTGAGCAAGTCAAGAAGACAGGCGACGATTTGCTGGTGGTTGGAAAAAACACTATAAATCCTTCTAACCAGATTGTGTAAAGTAGTGTTGTTAGCAGTATAAGGGATATTATTAACTAAAGGTATCTTTCTAGCAAATTCAAAATTAAAAAAAAAAATAAATGAATTTATCATTGATACTCTTTTTAATAGGAGTTTTAGGTTTTGTTTTAAACAGAAAAAATATCATATTAATGCTAATTTCTATTGAAATAATGTTATTAGCTATAACATTTCTTATTTTACTTAGTTCACTTAGCTTTGATGATATATTGGGGCAAATTTATGCTATATATATTATATCAATAGCTGGGGCAGAGTCTGCCATAGGATTAGGAATTTTAGTTGCCTTCTATAGATTAAGAGGAAGTATAGCAATAGAATTCAAATAATGTATCTAGTTATAATATTATTACCACTATTAAGCTCAATATCATCAGGTTTTTTTGGAAGAAAAATAGGTGTGAGCGGATCTCATATAATAGCATGTACATCCGTAATAACGACAACAATTTTAGCTGTATTAGCCTTTTTAGAAGTAGGTTTAAATAGTATACCTGTTTCTGTTAAACTTTTCAGATGAATAGATTCAGAATCATTAAATGTACTCTGAAGTTTTAATTTTGACTCTCTAACAGTATCTATGTTAATACCTGTTCTTATTGTCTCTTCATTGGTTCATGTTTATTCTATAGGGTATATGAGTCATGATCCCCACAACCAAAGATTTTTCAGTTATTTAAGTCTTTTTACGTTTATGATGTTAATACTTGTAACAGCCGATAATTACTTACTTATGTTTGTCGGATGAGAAGGTGTAGGTGTCTGTTCTTATCTACTTGTAAGTTTCTGGTTCACTAGAATAGCAGCAAACCAAAGCTCTATATCTGCCTTTTTAACAAATAGAGTAGGGGATTGTTTCTTAACTATAGGTATGTTTGCCATGCTATGAGCATTTGGTAACTTAGACTACTCTACTGTATTTTCAGTGGCTCCGTTTATTAGCGACAACGTAATATTGATTGTTGGTGTCTGTCTATTGATAGGTGCAATGGCCAAAAGTTCTCAAATAGGATTACATGTGTGATTGCCTATGGCCATGGAAGGACCTACACCGGTATCTGCTTTAATACATGCAGCTACTATGGTTACTGCAGGAGTCTATCTGCTAATGCGTAGTTCCCCTTTAATAGAATACAGCAACACAGTCTTGTTGCTATGTCTGTGAATAGGAGCAATTACAACTATATTTAGTTCTTTAATAGGTTTGTTTCAACAAGATATTAAGAAAGTTATAGCATACTCAACCATGAGTCAGTTAGGTATGATGGTTATAGCAATAGGACTTTCTTCCTACAATATAGCTATATTCCATCTTGTAAATCATGCGTTTTATAAAGGTCTGTTATTCTTAGGTGCTGGAGCAGTTATACATGCTGTAGCAGACAACCAAGACTTCAGAAAATATGGAGGTTTAAAATCTTTCCTACCTTTAACTTATTCGGTTATGCTGATTGCTTCATTAAGTTTAGTTGCATTTCCTTTTATGACAGGATTTTATTCGAAAGATTTAATAATAGAATCCGCATATGGTCAATTCTGCTTTTCTAGTATAGTGGTGTATTTTATATCTACAATAGGTGCAATGTTTACTACACTCTATTCAGTAAAAGTTTTATATCTTACATTCTTAACCAACCCTAACGGTCCTATTGTTAATTACAAACATGCCCATGAAGGGGATATTTTCATGAGTATGCCTTTAATCATTTTAGCTCTATTTTCTATATTTTTTGGTTACATCACCAAAGATATATTTATAGGAATTGGTTCAAATTTTTTCGCAGATAATAGTATATTTATACATCCTTCTCATGAAATAATGATAGAAACTGAATTCGCTGTACCTGTTATGTTTAAAATTCTACCTTTAATATTAACTGTGGGGTTAAGCTTTATATCTATTATAATTTCAGAATTTATACCTAAAACATTAATTAATTTTAAGATGACAAGAACAGGATATAACATATATGGATTTTTCAACCAACGTTTTTTAGTTGAACTTTTCTATAACAAATATATAACAGATTTTGTGTTAAAATTAGGTGGGCAGACTACCAAAGTCATTGATAAAGGTTCCATAGAACTGGTTGGACCTTTTGGATTGGAAAAAGCATTACTTACGTTAAGTAGCAATATTTCAAACTTAGATACAGGAGTTGTTACTTCTTACGCACTATATATATTAGTAGGCTTAACATTCTACATGTTAATTCCGTATTTATATGCCATAGACAATAATTTATTAATCGTAGTGATATTTGCTTTATTATCCCTATCTAGAAAAATAAAATAAGCAAAAAGAAGAACAAAGATAAAAAAAAACTTAAAGTTTTAAGTTTATTTTTAAACACATATAAATTGTGATACTTACTGTGCATTGTAAC